TTACCGACGGCACTGACTCCATTCATTTAACATTGGGTCGGTAACGTCGGTAACAATGTTTAACTGGGGGTTAGTATTAACCAGAGATGGTGAAAACGGCCCTAAATGTACATTTATCCATACGAAATTCGTCACCTAAATGCAACTAAATGCTGTTCCTGTCACTTATTCAGATCCGTATCTATTACGATCAATTCTCACGCAGAAGATATTGTGAAAAAAACCCTACTGAAAAGGAAAAAATAAGTTTTAAACCAAAAATTCAATACAAAAACTTGAATTGTTTTAACCGTAACCGAACATATGTTTATGTATATATTCATTTGCCGGTGGTGTCAATTAAAATTTCCTCACTTAATTAGGAAACAAAACAAACAGAGTTGATCACAAATTGATCCAGATTTCTATCAGCATCACATCGATGTTGAATTTGCTTAACTTTTCTTTATCCAAATAATGTAAAATAATAAATGACATCTCGATCAGCGATCACTGAAACGCAGCTAGCCACTGTATACTCGAAAAAGCAATGTTGCCACTTTTTCTCATTAAACCATGTTCGAATCGTGGAAAGTTTGGAAGATCACAGGGTTGCTTTCAGCATTTAGATTCTTAATGCAAAAATGGAGTTGCATTTGGTTGCATTTAGGTGTCGAATTTTGTATGGATAAATGTACATTTAGAGTAGCATTTAGAGCTAAATGCGCTAAATGTGCTTTTACGCGTAAGCAAAAACAGCCCATAACACTGCGCACTTGTACAAACACTTCACACAATTGACGCAATATTGGTTCCTTCTGTAGAAATCAACCTCCACCTTTTGATGTACGAACACGAATGGAAATCACATGTACACAAATGTTTACATCACGTTTTGCATATTGCTCTTAAAAAGTTGATAAAAGTACTTGATTGTGATCTCTATCACCAGTGATTATCACATGATCAATCAAATGACTATCACTGTTTTTGTAGGGAGGCCATGATTCAATAATACAAGGTTAGATAATTATTGACAGCTGCGGTTTGACACTCCCTTACAAAAGGTTGCATTTACGAAGGACAGAGAAACGGCAAGAATGCAATCCCTTGTTTCGAAAATGGTAGTAGAAAAGTACGCAAAGTAGGCAATTAGTAGTGAAATTCCTTTCGTAAATTCTAATGTATTTGCAGGAAATCTGGCATTTTAAACGAAATGTAGAACGTAATATGCATATATCTACATGAATTACGTAATTTATATGCTATGTAGCCGTATAAAACTGCAAAATGACTCAAAATTAAAATAAGACTACTATGAGATTGATGTAAACATCCAATGCTTGGGTATTCATCAGTTAAATATGCTTCATATGCATATACAAATAAACATATTGCACAAAAGCGTATACTTTTATTTCACACCCAAGCTACACTGTTTTCATGTAAATTTGCAAGAAGCAACACGGTGCCACTGCTAACTGCCATACCTAAACAAAAGCGTTGAGCGGAGCGGTTTCTGACGCCTAGAGTTAGCGCCGAAGTGCCATCCTAAACAAAAGCGTCAACGCTAAGTCAAATGCAGAAATAACACTAACAATAAGCAGGGGTTCAATACCTAACGCCCTGTCAAAATCAGATTTTCCAACCGCTCAGCGTTGACGCCGCGTTGTTTCGGTATGCTTCATACAAATTGTATGGGCATGAAAATTATTTGACAGCCAGACAACGCTGACGCTTTTGTTTAGGTATGGCAGTAAGGGAGCGGTGCGAGAGAGACAACTGTCAGTTTATAGAACCTTGTATTATTGAATCATGTAGGGAGGCGGATTCATACTACAACGAACACATCATTTTGACCAAGGCGAATTTATCAATGGTGTTGTAAGATCAGCTGATTTTTCCGCCTTATATGTATTTTGTCAAGGCGTATTTACACAAGGTGGGGTTACTGGCGAATTTAGATTTTCGCAGCGGTACTTCCTAATGTCAAAATGATGTGTTTGTTGTAGTATGATTTCGCCTTGTTTACAACAAACAAATCATTTTGACATTACGAAGTACCGCGGCGTAAATCTAAATTCGCCATCAACACCACCTTGTATAAATTCGCCTTGTATTTTGTTTTTGCTTTTACTGATTTGACAGCGCACCGATCAAAGGCAAAAACAACATACATATAAACTTTGGGGCGAATTGAGATTTGACATAACACCCGTAATACGAAATACATGTGATTGTTTTTGTTGTTGTAATCTAAATTCGCCAGTAACACCACCTTGTATAAATTCGTCTTGATTTTGACATTAAGTACCGCGGCGAAAATCTAAATTCGCCTTGGGTTGGCCGATAAATCGATCCGTGTGTAGCGCCTTTCAAGCTAAAATTAGTCGAGAACGCAGAACGTATACTTAAACGCAGTCTGTATACGCAGAATTTTGTCGATTACTGGCACGGTGCAGCGAACAGAGGTGGCGCCGTCAGTGGTACCGCTACTTTGGTTTGGTTTTGCCGATTTTGACAGTTGTGGTAACTTGTAAACAAACCTTTGTTTACAAATCAGCGAAAGAGAAATTTAATTATATGTGAAAAATCTGTTTAAATTGTGTTAATTTGCAATTTGTGAGTGATTTTTGAGTTGAGGACTGCGTAAAAACTAATAAAATGAAGTGCTGTGTGTTAAATTGCGACAGCCGTCAAGATGCAAGACGCGTAGATGCAAGTGTAGCGCTGGGACGAATCGCTGCATTTTGTGTACATAGGGCACGGCAAAGCCGTTCCCGAAATGTTTCTTTATTATTACATTAACAGCATTTCCTCACAATGATTTTGCTTCTGCTCCAAGCAGCCTCCATTAGCAAGTTAACTAATCAATCCCGCGGAGATGCTGCCGCAGTCTTAATTGCAAAGCAATGGAGTGCACTAAAACGTTTGCTGAAGCAGCCTCACTTGCAAAGCAATGGAGTGCACTAAAATGTTACCTATTCTCTAATAGATTAGGTGAAAAATGCAATATTTTCGCGTTTAGCAAATTTAAAACACGTTTTTCACTGTAAAATGAACTGTTTTGGAAGTTTTAACTCGTTCTTATTTTCGCTCTATTCTTTGTTTACTTGTGGTACACAAATGTCAACGCCCAGGCCGGCGCAATCTTGTATTCTATCATTCTTGGATTACTGGAGCCCTCAAGGGCCATTCACATACAACTTTCCTCGCTTTGCTTGACAGTTCAAACTTAGACAACAAAGCGCGAAACGCAGAAGGTATGCTACAATAAACGCTTTGACAGCTTTTGCGTTCTCCTTTTCCTCCATATTTTGTATCTGTAAAATAGATAACAATATAATAATATGCATTAATGATAGCAATAAAAATTCCTATTTACTCTATTATTAAATGCAAATGCAAGCGCACAAGAAAAGACAAATGTAGACAGCTGATTGCCAAAGCGGGCAAAGTTGAGAGTTGGCCAAAATTTTGCTTCGTTTTGCTTTGCTTTGCTTCAAACGTTTTTTATGTGAGCATACTCATGCATATGCCTACATCGATCTTATATGTCAAAGCAAACAACTATCAAGCAAAGCGAAGAAAGTTGTATGTGAATCTGCCTTTAGTGTTGCTTACTACACTGTTGTCACTCATGAACCAAAAATACAAGATCACGTAAGAACGCGACGTTGTATTTGTAACTGGTTTTGAGAAAAAAGTTTGCGAAAGCGGGTTCGTCAGCTGAGCGTTTGTTTACATCACAAGCACCACTATTTTACACTTTTATTCAAGTAAAGAAGACTTAATTCAACATAACAACACATTTTAAAGCATTTTGTTGCATCATTTTACCTAAATTGTGCGTTTAAAGTGGCTGACAATAATTTTGCCTAATTTTGGTTTTCGTTGGTTTGTTTGCTTTGTTTACTTTTCGCTCGTCTTTTCTGCGCTACGGGCTACAACTACAGAAAAATTCTGCGGTGTTGAGTTTTCATTTATAGCCCGAACACAATGAAAACGACGAGCTACAAACCACAGCTGTCAAATTATTTTAACACGTACTCTGATGTAGATAATTATTTTGGCGACGACCGGGCTACGCGACGGCTGTGGTTGTGGCCAGATTAGATCTATTTCTATTTTTCTGGCGACAGATAAGGTTCTTCCTCTTCTTTTATGTCAAACTCATACAAATTCATGATGTCGCTGCCGCGTTCAAAGAAATCATGTCGCCATCGACAAAGCGTTTAGATAATGAAGATAACAAATTGGAAGCTGTGGTCTGTAGCTCGTCGTTTTCAATGTGTTCAGTACTTTACATGGTGCTTTGGTAAGACAGATCGTGTCAGCTGACTCGGGTTTACGTACCGGTAGGTTTAAGGCTCTGTTATGCATACTTGGCATTGCATGCACTGCTATACCATTTTTACGTAGAAATCAAAAACCAACAGACTTTTACGTATGTAATGCTGTGCGTTGGGTAACAGCTTACACGCGAAGCTCATTTAACAGATTCCTTATGTGACAACTCTCAAGCAATGCCAAGTATGCATAACAGAGCCTTTACGTTCTTGACTAATTTCAGCTTAAAGGCCCGTCCACATAGAACTTTGGCGTTGCGTTGGCGTTGGCGTCGCTTCAACAGCTGACTATGAATACATGAATTCAAATGCAGCCGTCCACATAGCCAAAATTCGACAACGCTCACGCCAACACAAAGCAAAAAGATGGCCAACTCTCAACTTTTCGCGTGCGTCGCTCGTCAGCTGTTGCGAATAAATAAAATTATGTGAAATATTTTTCCTTTTTAATCAAGTGCGGGCAAGAAATATCGTTTTTAATGCAATTATTGATATGAAATATTAATTTATCTGTCGTTAATATGTTAATTTAGTGGCCCAAGGATTCGCTGCCAAGCGTTCATTGTAGCAAGCATACTTTTAACGTGCGTTCTGTCAAACCAACGCCAACGCCAAAGCCAACGCGAAAGTTCTATGTGGACCGGCCTTAAAGGACTTTCACTACGAAACAGCTACAAAAACAAAAACCTGTTCTACTGGCATACTGTGTTCTCTATAAATAGTTCTTATCGTCTGTATGCACACACTTGATAAGTTCGCCACAAGCTATTTAGTTCGTCTTTTGTGGAGCTGTTTGATAAGTTGAGGTAATTTGAAGTTGGGGGGTTATTTGAAATTGTGGAAAGTGGTCGTAATAACCAGGTTTTCCAAGTCCGTTTAATTTGTGTAATATGGCTGACTTACCCGACATCCTGCTTAAGCTTTTCAGGTAAATTTTCTATACATAAGTACATATGAAATGGATTGGCTTATCTCTTGTTTTATGATGTCTCAGTGCAATCGCACATTTGTACACCCATAAATATATTTACAACTGTATTTATCTACATATATATTCCTGGAACACATCAAGATAACCAACCGTTCAGCTATGGGAAAGCTAAAATTGCAGACCGATAGTACTTTTTACGTTGATTTCAACTATATAAATATTATTTGCCGCAATTAAAAAGTGAAGAAGATATAAAAAGTGAAAGAAAATTTTTGTGATATTTTAAAATATTAATATTTTCTAAACTACGTAACTGATTAAAAAAGTAATGATATCAAAATAAAGACAATTAATCTATCTTTAAGTTGATACATAAAATGTTTGCTTGCTTATATATATAAGTCAAAAGTATTAAAAAACAAATAAAATGTTATAGTTTTTTCATAAAATAACCTTTTTTAGAAAAAAACGCATAATCAATGCTAAAGACATATATAATATTTAGAAAGTGCAAGTTCTTACCTTTAATTTGATATACATATTTTATTATGATCTACGTTTGAGGTTTAGAATTCAGTGATAAAAAATATTAAAAGCATTTACAAGCAAGTGACAAGTGTGGGTGATATCATAGTTTATTTTGCCCAGAACTTCTTTCTGCGTAGGCGGCCTTCGGCCGCGCTTAGGGATCATAACCCTTACAAAGTTGAATTCTCATTTCTGTATTGCCGAAGAAGCGGAGCTGAACACCTTCTGCAGAGAACACCTTTCTGTGTAGGCGTCCTTCGGCCGCACTTAGGGATTATAACTCTTACCAAATAGAATTCTCCTTTTGGTGTGCACCAACTGGGGCTACCGCCCCAGTGATATAGCCTTGGGAAAGGATGAGGTAACTCGAATTCCCTTTCTATGTGGTAAACCTGTTGTGTAAGACCAGTGATGTCTATTATGGTTACTGGGTGTTTTATAAAAATGTCTAGGGAACCATAGGGGACCTCTTTGGTAGAGGTATACCCCGCTGAGCCACGCCGCCGATTTTTGTCATTCCTCACGCGCCGCCGCCGAGCTACGAAAATATCCAATACTACAACAACAAGAAAATTATAACACATCAAAAACTTTAACACCAATATCTCAGAAAGCAGTTTTAACCGAAGCAGCTTCTGTTCATCTAACTCATTTCATCCAACTCCTCAATTATTAGAGATAAAACAAAGATAAGTTGATTTTCCCGAGTATTTTTTTTATATTTTAAACAGACTTTAAATAAAGAGCAAACACTTTTTTTGCTAATTTTTACATTCGTAAGTTATTTTATTCTGGGGTCCCACACACGTATACAAGTACTAGGTGGCTGTTTGAAAATTACGTTAGCATTCCTTAATGGTCGTCAAACCCCAGGAAGGTTTTGCTCCCTCGCATCGCAACGTTTTCTACAAAGGGTTAAAGTTCCCCCTTTTTGGTAAAAACTAGTATTATTTTTCATTACATTCGGTTCTCCTTAGAAAAATTTGGCGCTTAATATTTTAGTGGACATTTTAACCATCTATAAGCCATTTTTTAAACAGTTTGTCAAAAAGACCCGTCCTGGTTCGAGTTGATGGGTTAAACTTTTGGAAAAAAGTAGCCCAACCTTGTTTTCAATATGTAATCCGCAAAAAATCGTAAGAACTCCGTAATTTAACATAACGGTTGAAAAGATTATGGCAAAAATTTATTGATAGCGACATAAATTATCCCAATAACTTAACTTTTAAAAATTTTTATTTCTTTAAATTTAAATCAGAGAAGCAATTTGAGGCTCTTATAAAGCGTACAATCGGTTTAATTCCTACGCGTGATAATTCCGTAAGGGCCAAAGCTGGGAAACTACAGAAAAAGTCCTCTACGGTTTCTTCCTCTTCCTAATCTCTGCAACTTCTTCAATATTCGTGGGAGAAAATTCCTAGTCTTCAAGAGTGCCTGCCAAGTAGCCAATGACCGGTTACACAAGCCGTGACCTTAGCAATATCCTCTCTTGAGAGGCACAGCAACTCTTTCGTCTTTTTCTTATCTATTTGCGGCCAAACCAGCCTGGTTGTTGCACAAGTGCCCTCCTCTAGTCACACCCGTTGACCTCTTGGATCATGCTATTTCGAAGTTCAAGTTGAAGGTTGCCATGGGTATCTCAATAGTGCTCCTGTTTTCACATAGGGCCGTGCAGTTTCCTTCAATATCTCTTTAATATCGTTTAGAGCTGCGAGGCAATCCAGCGCAACCTTCGATCTCAGCATTACCATGTTCATTTATTTAATGGCCGCCTGACTATCCGAGAAAATATTAATCGTAGTCTTCGTTACGGCATGCGTGCCAAGGTACACAGCCACCTCCTTTTTAGCTAAAACTTCTGCCTGATAATCACTGCAGTCGTCTGGAAAGTTCCAGTCCTACTTCCTTAGAGAAAACTCCGTAGCCAACCCTATTGTCTAGCTTGGATCCATCTGTGAAAAAATTCAGTTCCCCCATCTCCTTGGTCTGGGCGTTTGCCATTCACTTCTTTTACAGCCAATGTGTAATACGATGTGTTAACCCCCACTTGATTCCGACCGATTGCTTGCAAGTGTATAATGCAACGTTGGTCTCCCTTACTCTTTCCTCTATATAAGGTTTCCACGTAAGTTTCCTGTTTAATATGAGTCCTAGATACTTAACATTCTCCTTCTAGGATATCTCCACACCCATAAAGATTAGCGGGGAGGCCTGTCTTTCCTTGTAAAGAGAATTGCTTCGGTTTTCTCGGAGTTTATTCAGAGTCCCCTACTTTCTATCCAGTTTCTAAGCGTGACCATGTTAGAGGGCAAAATCTGTTAGGGTATTTGGGTATTTGCGTTTAACGGCAATTGGCAGGTCGTCAGCATATGCTGCGACGTATCAACCCCCCTCTCTAGTGCAACCAGCGCCAAGCTTAGTGGTTATCATCCTGCTGAAAAGTATAGCCTCAATCAGCACCGCTACATTCTGGTCAACTCCAAGCTCTTCTAAGGCACCCTCTATGGCGCTTGCGTTAATATTGTTGAAGGCGCCTTCTATATATAAAAAGGCAACCAGAGTATATTCTTTATCTGATAAACTTTTTTCCACCAACCCGACGAGCGAGTGCAAGGCTTTCCGTGGTTTTGCCTTTCGTATGGGCATATTGCGCTGGGGAGAGACCCCGTACATAATCATCCACTATCCTCTCTAAAATTTTTAGGAGGAAATACGTAAAACTGATGGGTCTGAAGTCCTTAAGTTGGTATAAGAGGACCTACCTACCTTGGGTATGAAGGAGACTTCTGTCTCTCTCCAGCCTAGCGGGATGTAGCCCATGTTAAGACAGTTTCTTACAATAACCGCAATGAACGGAGAGATAATACCCCGAGATAGCTGCAGCTCTACCAGGTGTATTCCATCAAGTCCCGGTGACTGCTTTCGTGGCTTTGGCCTTATTGAACATTGTCCTATTGGATTCACGTAACGAGGATAATTATTTCGACCCCAAGATGGTTTGGTTTTTTCCCTGTATCGAACAACCGGACATCCTGCTGAAAAAGAACTATTCATGGCTTTAGTGACCTGTTTAACCAGCCCATCCAGTTCCACCTGCATGGCGGGGTCCCGGGGAGGTATCTTTGGCAACATAGTCTTAGTTTATTTATTTATTTATTACAGTCATTTGACCTATATACATTCACGTATATACATTTGAATTATGTATTGCAATATACAATAAAAGTAAAGTTAAATTTAATGCTTAAAATACGTTAACCTGTTACATTTTTCCTCCTAAGCTATATAATAGTATGTATATTGAACTAAGATAGCATATTCTCGATGCTGTTGGAATGGACGGGATTCCAAGCAGTACCGTAAATATATCACGTACGATATGCGGTCTAAGAGTGTAATTTCCAGAGCCGCCACAACTGAGCGGTTGGAAAGGACTTGGTTCCAAGCCGCTTCTTATAAACTTCTCTACCGGCAGGCGATCTGAATGGACGAAATCCAGAGTCGCGCCATTTGATCGGACGGAAAGGACTAGTTTCCATGCCGACCTTCTTATTTCATACATTATGGGTGATCTGAATGGACTAAATCCGGAGTCATCCAGCCAGTACGGATGGAAAGGACTAGTTTCCATGCCGGACCTTTCTATCTGATATCCAATGTTCTACAGTGATCAAGTAGCAGCCTTTTGAAGGTACCAACGTTTTCGCAATTTTGTATTTGAGCTGGAAGCTCATTATAACCTTTTAATCCCTTATAAAAGATATTCTTCGTATCTATTTCCGTTTTATACAGCGGCAGCCTGAAACTATTATTTCCCCTGAGTAAATACGAATGGGTTTCACTATTATATCGTAGGATATCACTCAGATAATATGGGAGTCTACCTTGTTTTATGTTAAACTCGAATTTCATAGCGTGATAGAAAATTTGCTGTTTCACGCTCCGCCAGTTTAATTCTGCGATCATTTCCTGTATGGGTGTGTCGTACCGCTTGTTCAAGATAAATCGCATAGCCCTATTTTGCATTTATGAAGCTTATCTATTTGTGTGTCGCTTGCTATAAAAAAGATAGTTGGACAGTATATGAAATGTGGTTCAACTATAGATCTGTAGACCAAAGTTTTATACCTCCTTCCTAAGTACTTACATGATCTTTTCATGAGACCAATTTTTTTACCAATTTTTGCTACTGTGTAGTCAATATGTTCCTCAAATTTTAACTTATCATCGATATATATACCTAGATATTTAATGATTCTCACTTTCTCAATTACTTCATCTTTAATTTTTAAACTGTAATTATCGGAGCTAACGTTAGCTGCTCTAGATATGACCATAAACTTTGTCTTGTTCACATTTAATTGCAGTCTGTTTAGGCACAACCATTTATACAAACAATGAAGGTCTTCTTACATTTTAATCATTGCATTGGGTAGATTACAGTCACTGAGGGTTAAGAGGGTATCGTC